GGGGGGGGGGGGGGGGGGGGGGACGGCTAAAAGTAGCCAAAAAGGTCCTCCACTAAAGCCTACTGCCTCATGTTTCAACGAATAAAACCATAACTTTTATTCCAACTTAAAACTCATGCTTACTATGTAATACTGCCCTTACAACAGATAACCAAATAAAAATGACTATTTTAAAATCTGAGAAAATTTGCTTTGAATGCTTAAGTTAATGGATAGCTATTACTTCTATAAGCAAAATTTATTTACTTAAATAATGCAACAATTACAAAAATAAAAGTAAATTGATCAAGTTTGAAAACACCAGGTATACAGTGACATATTTCATACTTGTCTCAGGAGCAAATTAAACTGCTTTAAAACTGAAAAAACACTAAGTAGGAAGTAGTAAAAAGGGTACTTAAACTAGATTATTTTATCTAAACAAGCACATAATTAGTGTTTTCTAAAAATCCAAAATTGTAGACACAGTTCTGATAGAAGAAATGTTTCCAAAAACAAATACGAAAATGTTGACAAAACATTATTAAAATCTCTAGGATCTAGAGATTATTCTAGTCTCTAGAATCTAGAGATTATTCTTGTCTCTAGAATCTAGAGATTATAAAACAATTGGGACTCACACAATATGGCATATTTTTAAAATATCTCACTTGTTTGTGATTATGCCTAGAATACAGAAACACTGTTATACTTCTTACTTCAAAAAAAAAAAGCTCTTTAAACAAATAATTCTAAAAATAACTTAGCAAAATCAACAACAACAAAAAATGAGTCAGCAGCCTTGAAAAAGTGAGATACTAGCAAAATAAATAGCAAAAATATCTTAAAGGTACCAGTGCACATTTTTATTTTATGATTACATATAACATGCTACTTCAAAAAGGAGTTATCTAGAATCAAAGTAGAGATTCATTTTAAAACGTTATCCTAAATAACTGATATAAAGGCAGTAATAGCACAGTGTTTCACTTTTTTTCCTCTTCAGTTTTTGGGATGTGTTTTCTGGATTTAAACAGATAATTTATACTGAAAAGAATCACAAGCTAAAAACTTACCGAAAATCATCCAAACTTAGGCTACCTCTGCAATAACAGATAGGTGAAATTATACAAGGAGAGGAGAGAGAGAAAGCCCAGATATTACACAAATTTCACTTTAGAACACAAAAATTTAAAAGCTTTAAAAGTTACACAAGTGAATAGCATTCATCTTTGCAAAGGGAAGAAATCCTTACAAATAACATGATGAAAGTATGAGAAATAAAGTAAGGTTATTTTTTGGGTTTTCAAGTATAAAGCCTAGATCATTAAAAAAAAGTTCTCAAAAATTCAACATGTCAGGAAATAATTCTGTATTTTTCTGCCCTTAGGCATACTATTTGTTTGATATAGTGGAAAGTATGCAGAGACCACGCCACCAAAAACTTGGCACAAAAAAACCCCCATATTTTCCAACATGGAACTCATGTCGATATTAGATATAATCACACATGCTCCACATGTTTTTAGCTTGAGTATTCAAAAAATTATGTTTCAAGCTAAGAAGCAAAGTTAACAAAAGACCCCTAAAAATTAAAAAATAAGTTATGCTTTGTCTATACAATGAAACAGAGAACAAGATTGACAATATGTATTAAAATTTTACTTTTAAAATACAATTAAATAAAATGTAGACATAAAACATAAAAGTATTTTACTAAGTCATTTAAGAACAAATTAGCAAAGCTACTCTAAATTGTCACCAAAAGAATGTTAAATAAACGCTTTTACTTATTCTACATAATGAATCATTAAGTTATCACAGAAGCAGAGTCTAACAAGATTGATAGTTAATATAATGTCAGGTCAATATAAAACAAACACATTTTAAAAGGCCATAATCATTACCCAGAATGAAAAGAACCCTTATTTCTTTTCTATTTTTTTGTTTAATAGTAAAGCCAATAAATTAGTGCCTCAATATGCTGAAGACATCTGGTGTTCTAAAAGTGGCAAAGAAAGCTTTCTGTCTCTGAAGTTATAACCTTGACTTACATTTAGCTACCAAGCAGGCTTCTAAGATCACAGAACCACTTCCCCTTCAGTGGTCCTATATAGGCATTTCATTAAGCTCAATATCCTGATAGGAGACTCCAAACATCGAAAATGTGTAAACAAGGATAAATTCCACCTTCTTCACAAGTATGCTGGGAAATTTAATCAAAGTCCTTGAAAAAGTATTCGAATGAAAAAATACACATGTAGATTGGGCAAAGGATGGTATTTTAAATAGCATGGGTATGATTTTTGTTAAATAAAGTCTATCTTTATGGTTATAACATATACCCTCAGGAAAAAAGCAAAGAAGTGATATTTTTACAAAGAATCATACAAATATCTTCCACACTTCAGAAAGGTTATTTCATGTATACTACTTCTACTGAGGCAATTATATAAGAATTAATATTCAACATTCGAGAAAACTCAAATCTATTCCTATAACACTTGTTTATATCAAAAAGTACAATATAATCTCCCCATGGTTAAGGTTTTCAGATTTATCTTTACATAAACTAAAAAACTCCTCTATTTTCTGACTTATCTACTTCTCTCTTTGTACCACATCTCCCATTTATTTATATGTTTATTACATACTAACTCAAACTGGAAGGTGTTGAGAACGATGTGAATATCTATTCTATAGATTTACAGATTTGATGTCTGTGTCAAATTCTGTACATATAACATTGTAAAAACAAATCAGGACATTAATTATCTGGTTTATAAAGGGATACAGCTTCTCTCCTCTGCTGCCTTTCTTTACGTTATTTAACTGCACTCTAACATTTCCAGAGAGCCACAAAGGAAAGGAGAAAATCCCCTCTATTTTCTATCCAGTAAGTATTCTAACAAAAAGTTTTCTCTAAAAAAAAACATAAAGCAAAAAACAAAAACTACTATATAAAATTCTGAGTTATCTGCAGATTTCACCTATGCATGCAGTCCCTAGTCTCCAATAAAATAGGTAATCAAGTATTAATATGTATTAATTATAAGATTAAGAAGGCAACAGTATATATATCATTAAAAGTTTTAGTTTTTCTAAAAAAGTTTCAGGCATTTTCAAGTTACTATATGTAGTACAGTTCTACAATTCATTAGTGAAATGTCTTATCTACTCATATAGAAATGGAACTACATATTCATTCATAAAAAATAACTAATAAAGACAATGATCTATTACAGAATGTTGAGGATTAGCGAAACATACATATAGTTAAATATACCTACCTGTTGAATTTTGAATTGCGTGTTGGTGATTCTGCACCTCTTAAAAGTTGTCTGAAATACTTCAAAATAATAAATAACAATTATGATTTATTAAACTAACACTTGACATTGAAACATACTACTTTACCTTACTTCTTTCCAGTTTAAAGAAAAAGTTATTTAAATCAAGTGAACACAACCACAGTCAAAAAGTGTAAGGATTAAAATATTGCAAATGGAGATATTCCTGCCATATGATTTCCACAGGTCTATAAATAATGTGTAAACCAGAAGAATGAGGTTTCTGTATCACCACAGTACTACAAAGCCACTCAGGTATACAGCAAATCAAGTAAACCAATTTGGTCCCAATCTACTGAGTCACATAAATATAAACATGGTTTCAATAGTGAGAATTGTTTTTACAATTAAATTCTAATCTCTATTAAGTTGTATAGGGAAAAGGGTATTTAGTTTGTTAATCTTGTTTTATTTTCCTCTTTATTTTGTTATTTGAATCATTCATCTAACAACATCAGAGATATTAAATTCTGTATAAAAATCCTCAAACAAGGTTAATATTTTGACTTACCTCATCACTGTGACAGAACATAGGGGTAAACACATTCTCCAAGAGAGAAAGAACATGTTCATAAGCTTCAAAAAGACATCTCATAGTTTGAAGTTTCACAACATCTATGTACGGGCCTTCAGCAACTATTTAAAAAAATTCTATTGTAGAAATTATTTATGAATAGCATAAATACATTATGTATTATAGTTTACAATTCACTACAGTGAAAGAGCATACAAACAACACTAAAACTATGTTTTACAGAAATCCAACTGCAAAAATCACACTAGAATGAGAAATTAGAACAAAGCTCTGGTTCTGACAAATATTTATGTGAATTGTGAATAAGTTTCTTCCTCAAAGCTTTCATCTCATTATAAAATAGGATAATAGCTGTCCACATTCCTCACAAAGCTGTTTTAATAATAAACAAAGAATACATGGCAAAAACTCTTGAAAACAGTAAGAGCTATAGAATTCATTGTTATTATCATCTTTGACTTACTTCTTTGAATCTCTTCTACAATGAAGGGATCAAATCTAATTTTGTCAATACTTTCATCCAAACAATATGTTTTATAAATCTTCTGCAACTCTTCATGGAGAGAGAGCATTTCATCATTTGATAACTCTGGTCGCAAAATTCTATCATTAAATTCCTCTAAGAAATCAGGGCAAGTAGAAGAAAAAAATAAATTATTTTAATATACAACTATTCATGAAAACTTCATATTCCCATTCTACCGGTAGCCAATATTAAAAGCAGCAATTATAATTTAATTCATCATTTTAAGCTTTTTAAAAACATTTAACTGAGAATACTCAGATGAAAAAGAAATGCAGTCAACCAAATTTTTATATTTTAATACAAAATGTATAAACATGAGGATACTTCCAAAAGTTTGTGGAAAAACAAAGTGAAAGATAACACAAATCTTTCCATGAACTTTTGAAAGTACCCTCATACATGAGTAGAAACACAAATTTGCTAAAATTTAGTATAGTAAACACATTTCTTTTTTTTTTTTTTTTCCTTGTCTTTTTTCGTGTCCGGCAACGGATCGCAACCCTCAGTGTCGCGCCCGTACCGGACCGGGACCGGCAACGGGATCGCAACCCTCGGTGTTGCGCCCACACCTCGCTCAGCCAGTGAGCGGGAACCGGTCTGTATGTGGGATCCGAACCCTCGGCGGGAGTGCCGCCGCGCTCCAGTGCGCCACCAGGCCGGCCCCGAGTAAACACATTTCTAAATTGCATTTAAAGAATACATTGTGTTAATTTTTTATACCAAAGGTCTTTTAATACTTTGAAATCTGATTTACTAAGTAACAATGAAAATGAAGACTTTTTAGTTCCAATCAATGTTTTAAAACAATATTTCCCTCATCGTGGAGGCTACAGACTAGTTAGTGGTAGAACTGAGAGTCTGAACAAATGAATCTTTTTTCTAAAATGAGAGATGGTAGCATTAGGATAGCCAAAATATTGACTTTTTTTTTTTCATTCCAACAGGTGTTAATAAGGAGTTTACCCATTAATTCTGAATTACTCAAACTGAAACACAAAGAGAAAAAAAAGAGGAGTTAAAAAAAAATGAGCTGGTGGGCTGGCCCGGTGGCGCACTGGAGAGTGCGCCGCTTGGGAGCGCGGCGGTGCTCCCGCCAAGGGTTCGGATCCCATGTGGAGACCGGTTCCTGCTCACTGGCTGAGCGCGGGGCGGGCGCAACACTGAGGGTTGCGATCCCGTTGCCGGTCAGTAAAAAAGACAAAAAGGGAAAAAAAAAAAAATGTTTTCTTTAGCTCCCACTCATGAGTGAGAATATGTGACATTTCTCTTTTTGTTCCTGGTGAGAGGTTTAGATAACTTCTTTAAGACTCAAATTCAGGGCCAGCCCGGTGGCGCACTGGAGAGTGCGCCGCTTGGGAGCGCGGCGGTGCTCCCGCCAAGGGTTCGGATCCCATGTGGAGACCGGTTCCTGCTCACTGGCTGAGCGTGGTGCGGGCGCGACACCGAGGGTTGCGATCCCGTTGCCGGTCCCCAGTACGGGTGCGACACCGAGGGTTGCGATCCTGTTACCAGCCAGTAAAAAAAAAAGACAAAAAGGAAAAAAAAAAAAAATGAGCTGGGACAGAGTATATAAGATCTATGGGATAACAGCATATAACTGTCATTCCATTATGACAATACACGATATAATTGGAGTTGCAAAAGGAAAAGAAAATGAGGCAGAATATTTGAAGAGATAATAGCCAAGAATTTCAAAATTTATGAAAGACACCAACCCAGATATCCAAGAATCTTAGTAAAATCCAAGCAGAATAAATAAAAAGAAAACTATACATTACAGTCAAATTGCTGAAAACCAAAAAAAAAAAAAAAAATGTATAAAAGCAGTCACAGAGAAGAGGGACATATTATATGGAAAAACAAACATAAGACTAGAAGCTGATTTCTCACTGAGAACAATTGTCCAGAAAACAATGGAAGAATGACTTTAAAATGCTAAAAGAAAAAAACTATCAACCAAGAATTTCATATTCAGTAAAAACATCCTTCAAAAATGAAGACAAAGTAAACATCTTTTCAGACAGATGAAAGCTAAGAAAATTTACCTCCAGTAGATTTATACAACAAGATATGTGAAAAGGATTTCTTCAGCAGAAGGGAAACAATACTAGAAAAGTACTGGAAAAGTACTGACTACTTAAAGAAGAAATAACATACTGTGGGAATTAAATATGTACCATATAGAATTAAAATATATGACAACAGGGGGACAATAGTCAAGAAGAGGATAACATGAGGTACAATGAGGTTCTTAAATTGTTCCTGAAGCAGTAAAAAAATTTTAAATGAAGACTGTGATAAATGAAAGACAGATACTGTAATCTCTGAGCAACCACTAAAACAAAATAAGAAAATATAACAGATATAAAAAGTCAATAGAAGAGATAAAAAGGAATGCTAAAAAATATTCAAGTAACCCCAAAAAAAGGCAGAAAAAAAGGAAAAGAGGAACAAACAATATACAGAACAAATACAAAACAAACACTAAGGCAGAAGTCCTAACAACAAACATATAATAATTATATAGTGTAAATACACTAAAGCACACCAATTAAAAAGGAAAGATTATCAAACTAGATTTTTTAAAAAGCGAGATTAACTATATGCTGTTTGTAAGAAATACATTAAACACTTTAGATAGAAAAAGATATACAAGTGTAAATTTAAGTATAAAGAAAGATGGCATGGCTATATTAATATCAAACAAAGTAGACTTCAAGACAGAGAATCACCAGAGATAAAGAGGAGCATTTGATAAAAGGATAAATTTATCAAGAAGATATAACAATCTTAAATATGTCTGTGCCTCATAATAAAGTTCAGAATGCCTGAAACAAAATTAACAATACTAAAGCGAGAAATAACAAATTCATTAAAAAATCAGAAATACAGAATATTTGAACAACACTATCAATTTAACCTAACTGACAGAAAACACTGCTCACCATAACAGAATAGTCTCCTCACATGCCCATGGAACATTCACTAAGACAGACTATTTAGATGGGCCTTAAAACAAGTTTCAATGAATTCCAATGGAATGAAATCATACAGAAACTGTTGTTTGATCAGAAAACTATTAAATTAGAAATCGATCACAATAAGATCTCTCAAAAAATCCACAAATGTTTGTAAATTTAACAATACACTTCACAACAATCAAGGGTCAAATGATAAACCACATAGGAAATTTTTTAATATTTCAAACTGAATGACAATATTTTTTAGTATTTCAAATTGAATATACAAAATATCAAAAATTTTGGAACTCAGCTATAGCAATCCATAGAAGAAAATTTATAACTTTAAATGCCTATATTGCAGGCCAGCCTGTGGCTCACTCGGGAGAGTGCGGTGCTGATAAATGCCTATATTGCAAAAAAAAAAAACAAAAAAAGAAAGATGTACAAATTAATCATCTATGCTCTAGCCTTTTAGGAAAAGTACAAACTGAACTCTAAGTAAAAGAAAGGAAATAATAAAAATAAAAGCAGAAAATCAAGAAGTCAAAAATATTAATAAATTTGATAAACCTCTAACAACATATATTAAGAAAAATGAAAGAACAAATTACCAATAAAGAGAGGAATTTGCTATACCTCCATAATAAGGGAACATTAGGAATAACTTGATGACAATAAAATAGCTTGCTGAGTTGAGATACAGTAAAAGCATTCAAATAAATTCAATAGCCATTCATGATAAAAGCTCTGAAACTAAGAACAGAAGGAAACCTTCCCAATCTGATCAAAGAAATCTACAAAAAACACAGACTAATATCATACATAATGGTACAAAAAATAAATTATTTCTCCCTAAGATCAGGAACAAAATAAGGATGTAAGCTTTCGCCACTTCAATTAAACATTGTGGTGAAGATCCTAGCCATTGCGAGAGGCAAGAAAAAGAAATAAAAGTTATAAACATGATAAAAGTAAAAGTAAAACTATATGCAAATGACATGATTGTGTATGTTGAAAATCCTAAGGAAATCTACAAAAAAGCTACTAGAAGTAATAAATGAATTTAGCAATATTACAAATTACAAAGTTAATATATAAAAATCCAATTCAATGTCTATATATTAGCAACAATTTGAAAAATTATTTTAAATATCATATGCAAATCTATCCCAAAACATAAAGACCTACATTGAAATTACAAGACATTGTGAAGAGAAATTAAGTAAGACTGTAATAAATGGAAAAATATACCATGCTCATGCACTGGAAGCCAAAATAGTGTTGAGATGTCCTTACTTCCCAAGTTGACCTCTAGATTCGATACAATCTCAATCAAAAAAATCCAGGCAGGCTCTGTGTGTGTCTGTGTGTGTGTGTGCGCGCGTGCGCGCGCGTGCATGTGTGCGTGCACATGTGTGCGCGCGCGCACATGTCTGTGTTGGTGTAAATGGGCAATCTGATCCCACAATTAACATGGGAATGCAAAGAACCTGTAACAGCCAAAACAATCTTGAAAAAGAACAAAGTAGAAAGCCTTAGACCAAATGATTTCAACACTTAATAGCATACAGCCAAAGTAATCGAGACTGTGAAAAATGGATCAATGGAAGAGAATACAATTCAGAAACAGACCCACACATACACAGTCAAATGATTTGACAAAGCTCTCAAAGAAACGCAAGATGGGAAAGAAATGTCTCTACAAAATGAACCTCCACCCCTAATACTAACACAAAAATTATTTCAAGATATATCATAATCTACACGTAAAAATCTAAAACTATAATACATGTAGAGAAAAACACAGGAGAATATCATCTTGACTTAGGGTAGGCAAAGATTTCTTATGGAAGACATGGAAAACACTAACCATAAAATTAAAAATTGATATACTGGATTTCATCAAAATTAAAAAGTTCTGCTCATCAAAAGACAGTATTCAGAAAATGAAAAGACAAGCCATAGTCTGGAAGAATACATTCATAATACAGAAGATTGTATCCAGAATATATAAAGAACTCCTATAATTTAATGACAAAAGAAGAAATTTAGTAAAAAAATAGGCAAAAGACTTAAACACTTCCATAGGAAGATGATCAAAAGGCCAGTAAGCACATTATACTGCTCAACATCATTAGTCAGAGAAAAGCAAATTAAAACCACAAGATACCACCATACACCCCATAAAATAGCTAATATTAAAAAGATAAACACCACCAAATTTTGGTAAAGATGTGAAGAAACCAGAGAGTAAAATAGTACAACCACTTTGGAGAACAATTTAGCAGCTTCTTATAAAATGAAACATATATTTATCCTGCAACCTAGCAATTCTACATCCAGTTATGAAACATATTCCCAAAGAAAGCCTTGTGCAAGAATGCTCATAGCAGCTTTATTCAAAATAGCCCAAAAGTGGAAGGAGTACAGAGACCTACTTATAAGGAGAATGGATAAAGAAACTGTGCAGTACAATGGAATACTACTCAGCAATAAAAAAAGAGCAGTTTACAGATCTACACAACAACATGGATGAATCATGAAAAGCATGACACTGAATGAATAAAGCTAGACACAAAAGAATTTATATTATGTCATTCCATTTATATGAGAAAATTGTACAGCAAAACTAATCTGTGGTAAAAGAAACCAGTGATTGCTTTTGGCAGGAGTGGGGGCAGGAGTGGATCTCTTGGGAAGGACCCTAAAGGAACTTTCTGGGATGATGGAAATGTTCTTTATTTTGATAAACATGTAAGTCACATGGATGTACACATGTATCAAACTGTACATTTAAATTCTATAAGTTTCACTGTGTAAATTATAACTTTTCACTGTGTAAATTAGAAATCAATTTTTTTTTTTTTTTTTTTTTTTTTTTT